TATCCTATCCTATTCAAAATCCTATCATATCCTATTGTAACATATCCTATTCTATCCTATCCTATTCAGAATCCTATTCTATTCTATTCTATTCTATTCTATTCTATTCTAAGTCAATGCTGGAATTTGACAAAACCCACCCAAAATCACACGCCACAAGGCACTGCGAACCATCCTGAATAAGAAACGGTTGCCAAGCGATTCAGATGCGATTCCGAGACTGTGGGGAGATCTGTCATAACTCCGAATGGCCGTTAAGCGAGGACTACTCATTTTGTTTTGTGGGGAAGAAATGTCACAAGATGTGGACACCCCACTCTGCTTCCTAAATTGAGCTGCAAAAATACCCTATTCATTGGTAGAAGGGGATTGGCTCTGGCCAGTGGTGAAGAGGGTGAGATAGATGCTCTCTACCTGCCGTTTTGCGTACTGCCCTCGGGCATTTTAGGGGAGCCCGGGCTCTTGGTATGGCCATTCCAGGTCTCATCGCTACGACGGGGGAGTTGCCGGTTCCAGTTCTGATCGTTCTCACTCGGTTCCACTGCGGGGAGGACAGACAAACAAACAATTTGCCATTAAACAAATCATACAATTCTTTTTTTTTTTTTGCAATAACTTTTTAAATTTTTTGTTACAAATTTTAAATTCTTTTTACAAAGCTTTCCCCCCCCTTTACATTCTCTCTTATGCATAATTTGTGTCATATTACCATTCCAATTTCAGCCCCCCTTATTTTCTTCCCTTATTTCCTTCTTGAATTTTTGTCTTAACACATAGACAATATCGTTTTTCGCCCTTTCAGAACCATATACCGAATTTATCATTTCATTTTTTCCACCTGTTATTCTAATTTCTGTAGGTAGCGTATATCATCAAATTCAATTTTAATAGGAAGGAGGGAGGGAAGCAAGGAGGGAAGGAAGGAGGGAAGGAAGGAGGGAATGTAGGAGAGAAGGAAGGAGGGAAGAAAGGAGGGAAGGAAGGAGGGAAGGAAGCAGGGAAGGAGGAGAGAAGGAGAGAAGAAAAGGGGGAAGGAAAGGGGAAGGAGGGANTGTGTAATGGTATATGGGAAGACCTTGGGAGACGGAGTGAGGATACCTGCTCAGTAATGGTCAGATAAGAGAGCATAGATCTCAGTTGTGTAACAGATAGGGCGAAAGGCTCAGAAGGGACCCTCCCTAGTTTCTCAGGCTGTATAGGTGACGGCTGGAATGATATGTGGGGAAGACCTTGGGAGATGGGGTGAAGAGATGCTGTTAAAGGAACAGGTCTAATAAGAGGCATCCTAGCCCTCAGCTGCATAATGGACAGGTTCAGAAGGGACCCTCCCTAGTTTCGTGGAAAGCGTAGATTTCAACTGGGTTAACGGAAGAGGAGAGAAACATTTCAAAAGAGAGTTTTTGTCCCAATTTACCAGGGCTCTTTTCAAAATCACCAAGCCGACCTCCGAGATATTTTCACTTACCTGTCATTAAACGGGCAAAGGGTTCAGGGCACGTAGATGGTATCGGGAGTGTGAGTTTGTTGACGGCAACCCCATAAGCCACGGCCAGCCCGTCAATTCCCCGGTATGGAACTTCGCCGGTGAGGAGTTCCCACAGGAGCACCCCATAACTGGAAGAAGAAAAAACAGGGAAAAGATTACAGGTGTTTCCCTACTTACAAATATTTATTTGGTCGGGACCTTGGAGGTCTTCTAGTCCAGCCCCCTGCTCAAGCAGGAGACCCTATACCATTTTATACAGTAGTTCAATCAATCAGAATAGGAAGGGACCTTGGAGGTCTTCTAGTCCAGCCCCTTGCTCGAGAAGGAGACCCTCTCCCATTTCAGACAAGTGGCTGTCCAGTCTCTTCTTAAAAGCCTCAAGGGATGGGGCAAAACTTCAAAACATCATTTAATGAAAGGTTATAAGTTGAGGAATAATCCCCCATTAGTAGTTACCTGACGGGCTGAAGGTTAACTCAGCCTTCCTTCCTTCCGAAGTCGATAAAATGAGGACCCAGATTGTTGTGGGGAAATAGGCTGACTCTGAAAACTCCTCAGAGAAGGCTATATAGAGCACTATGAAGTGGTATATAGGTAGTCCTCGACTTACGACCCCAATTGAGCCGGAAATTTCTGTTGCTAAGTGAGACATTTGTGAATTATGCCCCATTTTACGACCTTTCTTTCCACAGTTGTTGTTAAGCGAATCGCCGCAGTAGATTAAGTTGGTAAAATGGTTGTTAAGTGAATCTGGATTCCCCATTGACTTGGCTTGTCAGAAGGTCACAAAAGGGGATCACGTGACCCCCCTCCCCCCCCCCGACACTGCAACCGTCATAAATGTGCTGTCAGGGTTCCCAGGATGCCCTGATGAACTCATGAGCCTTCAGCCAAATTTCAAAAGAAATCCAGTAAGGAGCAATACGTCAGCATGTACCAGAGTGAAGTCAGCTCTAACCCCCGTAATTTACAGCCCAACTATGACCCTGTTTCTCGCCTCCTTCCGGGTTGTGTCATCAATCACATTCTTCAACGGAGCACGCTCCGTGGCCAAATAGGTTTCAAACGCCCCCCTTCGTCCAAAAACTTCCTTTCTTTCGCTCCAACTTACCTCCAGACGTCACTACCCCGGGAAAAAGTTGAGTTTTTGATGACCTCCGGGGCCATCCAGGCGTACGTCCCGGCTGCGCTCATTTTAGTGGTTTTGTGCCATTCCCTGGCCAGACCGAAATCGGTGATTTTGAGAGTTTTCCCACTGACCTCGCCGTCGTCCACGTATTCACTCAACAAAACTGTGGAAGGAAAAAGAGAACGCTTTCAGACAACCCCAGAAAGAGGCAAGATGTGGGTTTTGTTTTTTTAAAAGCAGCCTGTTCTGGAAACTCTTCCCTGTGTTGGTAATCCTCGACATACGACCACAAATTGAGCCCCAAACGTCTGTTGCCAAGTGAGATATTTGTTAAGTGAGTTTTGCCCCCCATGTTTGCCATCTTTCTTGCCACAACTGTTAAGTGAATGGGGGCACTTCTTAAATTAGTGACACGGTAAGCGAACGGACATTATGTCCAGATGGCATAAAGGTGGCTCAGGGGCTACGACGCTGAGCTTGTCAATCGGAAAGGTCGGCAGTTCGGCGGTTCGAATCCCTAGCACTGCCTAACGGAGTGAGCTCCCGTTACTTGACCCAGCTTCTGCCAACTTAGCAGCTCGAAAGCAGGTAAAAAAAATGCAAATTGAAAAATAGGAACCACCTCTGGGGGGAAAGTAACAGCGTTCCTTGTGCATTTGGCATTTAGTTATGCCGGCCACATGACCACGGAGACATCTTCGGACAGTGCTGGCTCTTCAGCTTTGAAATGGAGATGAGCACCGCTCATGATGAGCACCCAACTCTAGCAGGGGGTGCTCACCTCCGTTTCAAAGCCGAAGAGCCAGCGCTGTCCGAAGACGTCTCCAGGGTCATGTGGCCGGCATGACTCAACCCCGAAGGCGCACGGAACGCTGTTCCCTTCCCATCAAAGGTAGTGCCTATTTTTCTACTTGCATTTTTTACCTGCTTTTGAACTGCTAGGTTGGTAGAAGCTGGGACAAGGAACGGGAGCTCACTCCGTTACGCGGCGCTAGGGATTCGAACCGCCGAACTGTCTGATCGACAAGCTCAGCGTCTTAGCCACTGAGCCACCCTTTCGCCAAACTGGTTCATGATTGTGCGAATGCAACCAGGGTAGTCCTTTTCTCTCCTTTTCAAACACGGATCCTGCCCAGCTCTTAATTTCACCCTGTTTTTCTCTCATTTTGACCCGGCTTCACTCAATTTTAATACATTCTCTGGGAAGCCACCCTCCGTCGCAATTTCTTGCAGCCAGAAAGGTTTCCTCTGTTGGCCAGTTTAGTTCCCTGTGCCAAGATGCCTTTGCATTCTTGGCACACCAGAGGGCAGAAGCCATCCCAAGCTCCGATTTACATTGGCGTTAACAGCTTGAGTAGGAAACAGAATAACAGAAACGGAAGGGACCTTAGAGGTCTTCTAGTCCAACCCTCTGCTCCAGCAGGAGACTCGGCCCTGTCCTGGAGCTAAATCTCTGCCGTATTTCTCAGAGAATGTTAGTTCATTCAAAGTAGGTTAAAATACAAAACAGCAAAAAGGTTTAAAAAGACATTTTTAACAAAATAAAAGGATATTAAGCAACTTCTAACACGTACTGTATATATTTTACGTCCATCCTGGTTGAATTACTGATTAGTATAATTATTACAGCAATGTTGGGAAACAGGCCAAACGAATTTCAAACGCTTAAACTATTAAATCTTCATCAAATATATTTGATGAATGAGCCTCTCATTCATCAAATATATTATTATTAACAAAACAGCCAAAGAGATAAACAAATAAACACCCATCTATTTTTAGTTCTGGCAGTGGCCACTCTAGTCCTCGACTTATGACCACAACAGAGGCCAAATGTTTTTTGTTGCTAACCGAGTCAACCGAGTGTTGCTTGCCTCATTTTACAACATCCCTCGCCCCAGTTGTTAAGTGAATCAGTACCGTTGTTAAGTTAGCGACACGGTTAAGTGAACCTGGCTTTGAGGCTGCTTGTCAGAAGGTTGCAAAAGGGGATCGCGTGACACCCCCGGGACATTTCAACTGTCATAAATACGAGACCATTGCCATGTGGTCGTAAGCATGAAACAGCTTGCCACCAGAAGTTGCGACTGCTCCATAACTGGTGGTTTTTCAGAAGAGACTGGACAACATATTTGTCCAGATTGATAAGAGTTAGCCTCCAATTTAGGACCACAATTGAGCCCCCAAATTATGTTGCTAAGTGAGACGCTGGTTTTTTTTTTTGCAGAAAACCGTTTAAAAACCCTTTTGATTTGCTATTTGAGGACCCGGATTGTTGTTGGGGGCGATATGCTGACTCTGTAAACCGCTTAGAGAGGGCTGAAAGCCCTANTTCCATCCTTCCGAGGTGGGTAAAATGAGGACCCGGATTGTTGTTGGGGCCAATATGCTGACTCTGTAAACCGCTTAGAGAGGGCTGAAAGCCCTATGAAGCGGTATATAAGTCTAATTGCTATTGCTATCCACAATTCACAATGTTATTTTATTTAACTATATATCATTAGCAGTATTAACATATTTCATTTTCTAATGCATCTCTTCTTTCCCTTCCTAGCCATGTTCTCTCATCTCCTGCTCTCTTTGACGTTCCATTTTTCATCAGTTTTCTGTCCTTCTATTCCCTACTCTTGAATTCCCCCTTTTTTCCCCCCATTTTATATGTATTATATCTTTTCTTCTGGATTTAAATTTGACACCCCTGTATTAGGGGGTGTCCCCCTCTTCCTCTAAGAAGTAAAAATCACATTCGACTTACAACCGCCATTGGGACTCGTGGCTAAGCAATGGAGTCAAGACATGATAAGTCCTCCTAGGAGCATGTCTGATCTTATGATCTCATTGGCTGCCGTCCCTAAGTGAATCAGCGGAGTAAATATGGAAATCCAGCCTTCCCCGCTGCTTTTATTTTTATTAATTGACTGTGAATTCTGTTCATTCACATCCAGCGAAGTCTTTCAAGGGAGGATTTGCAGTCACAGACCTTATCTGGCTTGGAGAGCTAATAATGGTCTCCTGCAAACTCCACTCCCCTTTCGCTCTTCTTTGATTTCCTCTGGGAGGGGCCATTCATTCCTCCCGAGTCGATCCCTGTTCTTTACCTTGTCTGGCAACTCTGTGCATGTGCATACTGGAAACAGGCTCCACCTGTTCTTCTGCCTCCCTGATCTCTGACTCTGAAGGCAGCTGATAACTGACATGTAACTGTGGCCCCCTCTCTGCCTCCGACCCAGAGACCTCATCAGAGCCTTCCCCAGACTCCAGGACTGGCCCAGTTTCCTCCCCAACCTCCTCACTGTCCGAATTTGCTGCCAGCCGTGCTAGCCACAACAGTAATAAAACCCCATCACCGCCACAATCCATTCTTAGCTCATCTCCAAAATACTATTATTTGGTGGCAAATTGATGACGGTTTTTAGCCTGGAAGTGGTGGAGAGTAAAAATGTCATAACAGGCCGGGAAGATCCTAAAGGGTGATCAACAGACTGCGGGATCCTGCAACTGTTGGAAGTGTGAGCCCGGGGGCCGAGAACCTGAATTTCCATCACGGGACCGCAGGGATGGTGCAACGGGCTTAAGTTTTAAGGACTGTCTCCAAGTCCCTTTATTCCCAGGGCCTTCATAACTTTGAATAGTTCCTAAAACGGGGGAGTCCTGGCTGCTCTCTGAGTCTGGTGGTTTTCTCGCAGACGTTTCATTACCCAGCTAGGTAACTTCATCAGTCCTAGAAGGGAGGGAGTGTTTGCGTATTGCAGGAAAAGGAAGGGCTTAGAAGGGAGTGGGGTTTGCGAAGGGAGGAGGAGGAGGATTGTGGGGGCCCTTGGTGATCTCTGAGCTTGGTTTTCGTGCAGACGTTTCATTACCCAACTAGGTAACGACATCAGTCCCAGAAGGGAGGGTTGGCGTATTAGAGGAAAAGGAAGAAGGATAAGAAGAAGAGGAGGAGGAAAAGGAAAAGGAGGAGAAATAAGACGGTGGGGGCCTTGGTGCTCTCTGAGCTTGGTGGTTTTCTTGCAGACATTTCATTACCCAACTAGGTAATATTATCAGAGCTAGAATGGTGGGGTGGAGGAAAATTAGAGGAGGAGAAGGAGAAGAAGAGGAGGAGGAAGGAGGAAGGAGAAGAAGAGGAGGAGAAGAAGGAGTGGATGAAGGAGAAGAAGAGAAGGAGAAGGAGAGGAGAAAGGAGAAGAAGAGGAGGAGAAGAAGAGAAAGGAGGGAGAAGAGGAGGAGGAGGAAGAGAAGGAGAAGAAGAGGAGGAGGAGGAAGGAGAAGAGGAGGAGGAAGGAGAAGAAGAGAAGGAGAAGAAGAGGGGGAGGAGGGAGAAGAAGAGGAGGAAGGAGAAGAAGAGAAGAAGAAGAGGGGGAAAAGAAGGGGAGGAGGAGAAAGGAGGAAGGAGAAGGCGGAGAAGAAGGAAAAGAGGAGGAAGGAGAAGAAGAAGAGAAGAAGAGGGGGAAGGGGAGAAGAAGACGAGGAGGAGGAAGGAGAAGAAGGAGAAGAAGAGGAGGACGAGGAAGGAGAAGAAGAGGAGGAAGGAAAAGAAGAAGAGGAGGAGAAGAGGGGGAGGGGAGAAGAAGAGGAGGAGGAGAAAGGAGGAAGGAGAAGAAGGAGAAGAGGAGGAGGAGGAGGAACAACTGTGGGATCCTTGGTGCTCTCTGAGCTTGGTGTTTTTCTTGCAGACATTTCATTACCCAACTAAGTAACATCATCAATGCTCACAGAGAGAAAATTCTCCTCCCTTCTAGCACTGATGATGTTACCTAGCTGGGTAATGAAACGTCTGCAAGAAAACAATCCAGCTTAAAGAGCACCCAAGACCCCTGAGCTACAATTATTCTATCAGTTGCTAAATTAATGCTCCAAACCCCACTCCCTTCTAGCACTGATGATGTTACCTAGATGGGTAATAAAACGTCTGCAAGAAAACCACGAAGCACGGAGAGCACCAAGGACCCCACATTTCGCAAACTGTTCAAAGTTACGAAGCCTCTGAAAAAAAGTGGCTCCCCCAAACTTAAGTCCATTGTAGCATCCCTGCCGCCATGTGATCCGATTGGTCATAAAGTTGAGGACTGCCTCTATCGGCATCTAAGCTTGTTGAGATGTGCGTTGGGGATTCGTCCGGAGGGAAATCTTGCGCCACTCACACTGGATAGCTCGAAAGCG